AATAACATCTCTTTAAGATTTGAGGCATGACTTAAGTATTTGGGTTGTGGGAGTTTAAAGGTTAAAGACATGTATGTTACACATTTTTTACCTGTTTTTGTCTTGATGACCTCTTTTTTTCAGTATTCAACAAAGCAATTCTTAGATGCTGATTGAAGTGATGATGTCGTGGCAATTATATGAGGAACTGCAGCCTTAAAGGATGGACAAAAAATAAAAACTAAGTGTCTAAAAATACCATACTATTACAATATATTTTTGATATCTATGAAACCAAAGAAGGAAATATTAAACTGCAAAAGTCATACTGCTACAGCACAAAATTTAAAATCACTGGTTTGAGGATATACATTTGAAAAAAAAAAACGTAATTTAGAAAACAAGCTTATGCAGGGCAATTTTTTAAAGAGGGACATGAAAATGAACATTAAAACTAACCTAAACTGCACAGCAATGCACTTGTTCAAATTTAAAGACTTGTTATCAAAAGTTTTGCTTCTTGCTGCACATCTTCCAGTGTTTCATCTCCAAGGAGAAATGATCTCATAAAGGTATCGGCTATAAAGGTAAAGAAGTGCATTATATAGCAGACAAATATTTAACAATAAATAAACCATCTTTGTGAGTGCCATTACATATTAAATTATACAGTACTTGTGACATTAATCAAAGATTCTATGAATTTAGTGTAGCTAAATGTCATGTTGAAAATTTGTCGGAGGTATTTAACTTGGCCTCGTGGCGACAGCCGACGTGGGATTATTACTCCAAACTGGTAGTCTGCGTGAGAAGTGTGCATTCTGGTATGCAGCTAGTACTAATTGTGGACTTTTTGTGAATTTCCTTCTTCCTCCAGGAGAGTCGGGTGGAGAGGAGAGTTGGGGAACACATGCACGCACGGAGCCTCAGCACAGAGCAGCAAAGGACGAGCACTGTTTGAAAACTGCACTCATTGATTAAATTGTTGGACTTACCTGTTTTTCTCACTGTAAATAAACGCACTGTTTTGCCTTTGAAGAGAATCGCACCTGGATCCTCTTTTCACCTTCGTTTCCGTGACAAAATTCATGTCAGGGGTATTTTCTGGCTGGGATTTTAGTTGTGAATAAGAGTGATAAATGCGATGCTAGTTTTCAAAAGAGAAACCAGCAAGATCTTTAAATCTTAATCCTCCTCACACCGTGTATGGCCAGAGTGTTGCATATCCACTACACTTAACATAAACAATATTATCATCTATCAAATAAATCTGGAAACAAGACTTTGTATGCACTTGCTAAATACCCAAGTACATTACTCACAACAGCATCCAGTTCTGTCAGTTCCTGTGCCAGCTTTGCACGTTTCATTAAAATCATGGTGTAATATTTTTCCTCAGCATTTTGCTCATCCTGTCTTTCTGTGACTTTTCAGGCATTTCTCATGATGCTGCTGCAGCTTGACTATTTGTGACTAAGTAAACAAACTAAGCAAATTAATGAATACATTAGACAGTAACTTAGTTTGTATATTTTATTTAAATGAAAAAAGACAAATATAATTTCAACTATCATTTGTTACCACACATAATTAATACCACCTGATTTGTTAATTAAACAAATGTGAGCTGGTAATGAGCTGGTAAACTATTCAGACTTTGAAGCAAAACTATCATAACAGATCTCATTTAATCAGCAGTACCACGTTGCCACCAATTACCTTAAATAACTTGACAGCTAAAATGCCTAGGTTGTAAGAGCTTCAAATACATTCAGTATTGTGATTAAAATCACCATTAGCTAGTACTAACTCTGAGTCACCATGCCCTGTTCATTACATTTTGTGTTCATAGTACTTTCATATGTGATTTCATGGAAAACAAGTGAAAATAGAAGTGATACCAAAGGTCTGAGTAGTGGCGTATATATGTAGAGAGAGAGAGCTTGTTGATTAAATCACAACACATAAAACAGCAATTTATTGTAATTTTGTGTGTAACATTGTATTTGGTTAAAATTACAGTCATTACCTGGCCAAAAGGTTTCTAATGAAGCATATTAGCTAAATATGCACCAAGGCTTTAGGTTTTAAAGTTTTCTAAGTTAATTTAAACATGCCAATGTGCATGGATAACATCAGGTCTCAGTATCAAAAGAGATTTTTTTTCTCAGTGTTTTGCTTCATAGCCAGTTCAGCTCAGCAAGCAAGGATAGGTCATTTGACTCATTTGCCACAGATTGACAAATTCTTTGCAATTCTATTTCTGTTCTCTGTTACTTGCAAAGTACTGAAAACACAACACTGAGCCAAAGGAAAGTGTTCCATTCGGAGGATGTAGCTTGAACTGCAGATGTAGTTGCAGGAAGAGGTGTGGTAAGCACTGTAGCCTGTCCCACACATGTCCCCACATTTCCTACACTATCTACAGCAATCACCTCCACAATCTGTGAGCAGCAGGACGCAGTGTAGGTAACCAGTGTAATATTATCACCCCCTGCTCCAACCACTGTGCTCATATTCAGAGTACCATTCCCTTGGCTGATTGTTAGACTCTCAATGCCAGTTCCATTGATGCCATCAGTGAAATTAGCAATGAACTTCCAATGTGAGGAAGCACAAAGCAATGAAGAGGAATCACAGGTTGATGTACTGACTACCTGGCAAACTGGACGGGTAACATCTGTCACCTGGAGACAGAGAAATAGAAAAGATGGACTGGGTTGGATATTTGTCACATCAGTTATTAAAGGTAAAAAGAAAAGACCAATAATTAAATCTTTGCATGTCAATTAGATTCAAATTATCCTGCCTTCCCTGTCTTTCTCATTAAGTCTGTCTTTGTGCTATTTGATCTCACATTAATGTGCTATTTTAGTAATCTTTTGTCCCTCGTGTCTTGCATTTAGTGTTACTTTCTTTATGATTGTTTTTTTACTTGCATGTTCCACATTCACCTAATTTTCTTTACGCATTAATATCCTCAGTTCACCCTTTGTCATTTTTGTGATGTCTTTCTCATTTTCTCCAGGCCAGTTATTTAGTACTTTGGATTCAGTTCACTTTTTATGTAAAATTTGTTGCTTTGTTTTATATTATCCAAATTATAAATAAAGGTGTTTTTGTTTGTTTAGCCAGTTTGCATTCATCCTTGTATAGCAACTCATGACAGACAATTTAACAACAATAATCCACAGAAGTATGACACATAAAAAGCCTTTTAAAGCCATTTAAAAGCAAAATAACAAAAACATGTATTTCTTTTAGATACATTATTTGCATGACTATTAGTTATTACAGAATTTAGAATGACATTGAAATATCACCCTTTTCACTTACCTTAGCAGTCACAGAAAACCTGAGAACTACATAGTTGATGTCAGTGGCAGTGGCACTTTTTGCCTCAATGGTAAGGGTCACATCTGTTCCTGGTGGAGCACTGGATGGAGCTGTTAGGGTTACAGTGCCATTGGCTTTACCCCCACTGCCAGCTAGAATAGCAACGCTGCTGGGTGCAGTGGAAGCATAATTGCGGTCATTGCTGACTAGCACGGTAAAAGTCTTAGTTACAGAGTCATTTATAACTCCATCAGTAGTTGTGGTGACTGTGAAAGGAATGGAGATAGTGGTGCCCGGCTCTATGTTGGTATTATTAGCTTGGGCCTGGACAAGGAGAGAGAGAGGGGGGAGCAGGGGAAGGAAAATATATTTTTAAAGACTGTAGTAAATAATATTTTGATGTATGAGATGACTTGACACTGAAAGAAGCACAGTGAGAATGTGTGCTGTTTATCACTGTACACTCATTTCCACAACTTGTAAAAATGTTTCAGTTTACATATGGTGGCATTAAATATTCTTCAGAAAGCACACATGAACTGTTCTCACAGTGACAGAGATGCTAGAGGTCTTGAGCTGTGTGGACCCTTGTCTCTGAAAGCTGCTTGAAGTGGATTTGGAATTGGAGCTGGTGTCTTCTCCTTTCAGGATAAGCACAAATTCACCTGCTGGGATTCCAGTAAATGTCACCAGAAAATCACTTCTTCCTAATGACT